CTAATCTCCTTTTTTTTTTTTTTTGTTCTCTCATTCCAGAGATTTCCATGATGCTCCCTGCCTGCCCTGGCTTCACTGCCCAGTGGCTCTGCTGTCTGGTTTCCTCCCTGGCCTTGGTCCTGGCCAGGCTCTCCCTGAAAGGCTCCTAGGCCTCTGCTGACCAAGGCAGATGATTCCACTTCTGGCCCCGTTCCCCAGTACGAACTCTAGCTATCAGCAACAGAGTTCTCTCATCCAGGTCACATCCAGGTAGCTCCTCACTAAGCTCCTCAGATATTCCTGTGTAGGTCAGCACCAACCATGGGGAAAGCTGTACTCTTGTGTGATTCTGGGACTAGGTAGACACGGTTGAACAACTAGGTCAGTTGATGTTCAGGGAAAAATGCACATAGTGGTGGCTGAAGGGATTTACAGCTGGGAAAGGCAGAAATAGGAGTGACAAGTAGGATCCATGTCTTCCAGGCCCTACCCTGCTCTGGGCTGTATGTATGATCTTCGGCAAGTCCAGTCTTCTTTGGGCTTCAGCGTAGGGCTAACCCAGGGGTGGGCAAACTTTTTGACTCGAGGGCCACAATGGGTTCTTAAACTGGACCGGAGGGCCGGAACAAAAGCATGGATGGAGTGTTTGTGTGAACTAATATAAATTCAAAGTAAACATCATTACATAAAAGGGTACGGTCTTTTTTTTTTTTTAGTTTTATTCATTTCAAACGGGCCGGATCCGGCCCGCGGGCCATAGTTTGCCCATGGCTGGGCTAACCTGTGTTAAACACTTAGGGATCTTATTAAAATACAGCTACTGATTCAGTGAGCAAGACCTGAGAGTCTATATTTCCATCACACTGCTAGGTCTTGCCTCTGCTACTTGTTTATGGAGTAGTGAGATTCTTGATGGCCCCTGGGATCTTTGTCTTTAAAATTCCATGATCATGATAGGGATATCTGAACACACAGCCTCAGAGGCTGCTAGCAAAGCTTGCCTCTCAGGCCCGTGGCTGACTTGGGCCAGTTTACCTGCTCTCTGCTGCTGCCTACATTTGCAATAATATAAGACCTCTAAGATCTTTAGTCTGCATCCTTTTGACCAGTGCTTCTTTTTCCCCTCTAATCTCCACCGGCCACCTGACCCTCAGGAACAGGAAGTCCAGCCATGGGCTCTGTGAGGCTGCTTCTTCTCCGTATGTACCTATTAAAGGCCTGGAATTCCCACGCAGCTATGTTATGGAAATATTTCTCCCACAGCACTCAAGTATTCCACAGCACGTGCTCCTCTTCTCTTCCTTTTTGGGTGACCTTGTTTTGCAGCACAGTTTCCATTCTTTGGTGTGTTTCCACAAACACCTGGCTAGATATTGTGGAGAGCCTGTATCTTACCCATCCCAACAGTATTCACGTGCAGCACTGAAGAGTGTCCACTTGACTCAGTAGATAGACTTTATATGGGAAAGAGTAAAGTAACACATTTAAATAGCCAAGTCAACTACATGCCATCTCAGACTATTCTTCATGACTCCAAACTCATTCCTTCTCCCATCAAAAGGTATAGTGGATCTTTGGGAAGCAGCCCATTCTTGAAAAAAAGTAACTCAGAAGATAATTTTTAAGAAATTAAACCTTTGGACTTCAACACAGCTTAGTTATATTTGTACTATAACCCTTAATATTAAGGATTTACTTCAATTAGTCTTGTGGGGCCCTAAACTGATTAAATTTGGGGTTCCTGTTCATGAGAGAAAGAATTCAAAATTATGAATACAAAATGCTTGCAGGCCCTTCTGTGGGTGGCGTCTATGTGGGGCTCATCCCCTGGTTCTGGAACTTTGTGGTACCACAAGGTGGCAGTATAGTACTAAATGTGGAAGGTGGATCACTACACTTGCAGTTTGGAGTCTCAACTGAATGTTTGCCCCTGCACTTTAAATTGCATCCTGTGCTCTGAAACTGCTTTTGTCTCTTTGTGTGATTTTTTTTTTCTTTTTGATGAGACAATCTGAATTCCTTCCCCCAAACTCTGAAGGATTTACAGGAATCTGCAACGCCATCAACACATATTAAGAAACTGTACTGGTGCCCTGGCTGGTTTGGCTCAGTGGATAGAGCATTGGCCTGTGGACTGAAGGGTCCAGGATTCTATTCCCGTCAAGGACACATGCCCGGGTTTCCAGCTCGATCCCCAGTAGGGGCGTGCAGGAGGCAGCTGATCAGTGATGCTCTCTTGTCAGTGGTGTTTCTATCTCTCCCTCTCCCTTCCTCTCTGAAACCAATAAAAATGTATTTTAAAAAATTTAAACTGTACTGGTGACAGTTTGTTCCTTAAACTTCTACATTTCCCCCCTTCTGTTTTGTTACATTCAAATTGCATTTACTATAATGTAAAAAGTGTTTCACATAACTTCTGCCATAGTAATTTTAAAGGGCTTTGGCTTTAATGTTTTTAACCATATTAGACTTTTTTTTTTTACATTGATCTAGCCACAAAATAACTACATCCCCGCTTGATCCCTCATATTTGAAAAGATTTTAAAAAACTAACACTTGTCCCATATAGTTGGTAAGCACACACCTGTATAGCACACCTGGCAAGGGACCCATTCATTTGTCTAATGGCCAAATACTCTTCTCATTTTCTACCCCAAATCATTTTTGGGTTTTCTATTCCCTTAATAGATACATTTGAGTATTAGCAATTTTGCAACTCAAGGTTTAGCTTTAAAGGCAAAGAACTGGCACTTGTGTTTTAATATCAGCCTCTAGTTATTATAGGTATGGGCCTTTTTACTGAGAGCTGTCCCCAGAATGTCAATAGGGCTTTTTTGTTTATTAAGCTTGTTTATATTTAGCACACTTACAACCATTTTGTATGTTATCAAATATGGCATTTTACAAGGATATATTGAAGAAATTAATAAAGAAATAGAGCTTCAAAGTGGAACATTTTCCACTGTCACATAGTTGAAAATGGGTCTTATAATGGAAATATTGCTACATTAGAAAACCCACATGCTAACTAGTGACTTTTAGCTCTTCCTCCATCCAACATATGTGGTAGATTATGGGGATGCCCTCAAATCCTACTTTATAACTGAAAATGTAATGTTTATGGATGGTTTATATACAGTACATAAACCACATGGTGATCACCACACGGGGTTAGATGCAGGCCACTTACTGGAATCTAAGTTACAAAATTGTAATTTTTTAATGAATAAAACTTCTGGGAGGTATTTTACAGTGCTTCTGACTTAAAAAAATAAAATCAGCATGACAGCTAAAGTGGGTGTTCTTATTGCATATCTAATTTCAACAATTCAATTAACACCAAGAATGACTCTGGAAGGATTTGCAAAATGTTTTTACCAAGAAACTTCTTAAAAGACTCCAAGATAAGCCAGGAAAGTAGTTTCTGTCCTATTAATTAAAAAATATTTTTTAAAACCACTAAATATTCCTATTAGGAAAAGTAAAGAGAACAAACATCTTAGCAGGCTGCAGAGAGTAAGTTCCCCACCTCACAGTTTGATGTCCCCATCATTAGCAGGGTAGCTGCCCATTTCTTATCTTGATTGACAGGTTAATAAGGGACCTGGGGCTATCTTTTCAGTATGAACATACAACCTTACCAATTACTTTTAAATTATTGCTAATCTGTCAGAAAATAATAAGCATGAGATATAAAAAATATATGAAAAAGAGAAATGTCTGCTGAAGATTTTACTCCTGGTGTGATTTTAAAGGTTCAGTTCAGAAAACCTGTCAGAATTTAGTCAATAAAATTTAGGTGCTGAGGGTTTTCTATTTTATTTTAAAGGAAAAACTTGTAATGTATAATAAATAGTTCATTGGTTCAATTAGGAGCAAAAAAGAAGGGAGTTTTGTAATACAATTGTCCAGCAAAGGAAAATGCTTTAAATTGGGGGATTATGTGTGCAGACCACCTGTAGGGCATTCAGAGCCCTTTTCTATGATGCTTCAACCCATTCCTAGCTGCCTGCAGGCTGGCTAACAATGCCTGGAAAAGCTGTTCAAAAGGCTGAGCATACTTGTGCTTCTGGTCTTCACTGTTACAAGTCTTCCTCTCCTGAGCTCTCTCCCTTTTAAAGTAAAAGTCCCACCACATCCCTTTAATGGAAGAACTTTAAGGCTCCATGGTGGCCAATTGGTATGTACCAAGAAGAGCCTGGCAACAGCTAAAGAAACTTCAGTTTTACAGCGCATTTGGAGAGAAAAGATCAAAGTTTTTCAAACTCAAAAGACCAAGTTCCCTACAGATTAACACTATTCATTTAGCTCCTCTTAAAGAAATGATGTGCTGGGCCACTGGGCAGACAGGTAAAAAGTTCAACAATTGCCAAAGCATTCTTCTGCTAATTCAACAGCCTTCTGCTCAAATAAATTAGTTTAGTGTTGACAGAAGAACAATAGCCTTTTCTCTAGGAAAAGCAGCACATTTGATATACACAAGCCTGGAAGGTCATTAAGATGTTAACCCATTAGTTTAATCCATTAAGGGTGCCTGTTCCACTACAGAGTGTCAAGTGACTTATACATACTGTACACTGTATTCTGAGGGTTTAAAACATTCACCTTTACACTTCAAAAGTATGTTCAGTCCAGGTGCTTTCAAAATCATGGACATTAGAGAGAAAAAAAATGTGGGGTAAATCATTTAGTAATATTATACAAGATAAATAACAAGGCCTGAGTGGAATTACTTCCTTGCAGTAGTCCATATACACATGCTAAGGTGAGCGTTTTCCATGGATCAAAAAAGAGCTACCATTAAAAACACCACCTCTTTGGAGGGTGCAAAACTCAGTTTTGATTTCAGTTCAACAGTGATTTTTACTTTACTAACAACTTAAGAACTAGAATTAACAGGCCATTTTCTCCATATCTAAGATCAGTGTACAGAGAAACCAGAAAGGGTCCATTTTTCCAACATGTTCTTAGCAAACACTTTAAAGGTAACAGCTTAGAAGAGTTAGGGGGAGAGGGCAATGTTTAAATCATTTATCAAAAATCATTTTATTGACAAAATAGAATACTTATATTTGTTCTTACAGGAATGACCTCTAAACTTTTTACAAAAAATGTACAGACTGTATATCTCTGGATATGTACATATTTTACATTTTTTACACATAACACATAATTATATAAATACATCCTCTAATGTAAGAAACCCGTATTTACTTGGGGTGTATAATTAAGACATTTCATGTTTATTTACTTAAGGCATTTGCCTGGTCATTAAGAATACCCAAACCACTCAATCCAATTAGGTTTCGATCATCCTTCCTTTAGGATGGATAAGGAGTAAGAGTTTACATAGGAGAAAAATAGGTCCCTCTGGTAAAAATCTGTAGATCTGGCTTCAAGTTCCACGAATGGCAACCAAGGAGGGCTCCAAGCCTTGGGTACTGGGAACGCTGGAGAGTCCACCCTTTTCTGCCAATTGAAATGAAGGTCTCCCGCCTCCCGTGAGGAGCTTCTCGCATATCAATGGAGGAAAGGAGGCTGGGTCTGGGAGTCCTCAATGCCAGGTACTTTGTTCTAAGCCAGTCATTTAAGTCTCAGCTAATGGATACCATTAAGAGTTCATTATCATGCTAATAGCAGTCAAAAAAAAAAAACACAAAAAACCCACACACACCAAAAAAACAAAACAAAACCCAGTTAAGGGGTGGGAACATCAGCCCCTGGAGTGTCCCTTGGCAGCCCTTGGCCTCTTCGCCCCCCTTTCCTTCCCTCTGCTCAGACTTGGGACAATGGCATCTGCTTTGGGTAAGACACTGAGCTGGCGGTGCCAGATCGCCACGTCAGGCCTGTGCTGATGTCACTGTAGAGCGAGCCCGCTGCCCCGCCCGCCCCCCTGCCGACTCCCCCCGCCCCCGCCGGGCCCGCCAGTGTCTCTCACGCCAGCACCCCCGCCCACCGCAGCACCCTTGCTGGCCCAGCAGCAGCGGGTGCACAGGGCCCTCCACGAATCAAGTGTCTTGCCTGACCAGACCCACACGCCCGAGGTGATGCCCACGACCAGGCACATGAAGTACTTGAGCATGAACACCGCATAGTCAGGCCGGCGTGCCTGGTCCGGCTGCAGGTCCCGCAGGCACGGACAGTTGTGCGTGGCCTCCCAGCGCGGGCGGTTGTGCTGCTCATAGAAGAGGCAGGCGACCACGATGGCGGCAGGCACTGTGTAGAGCACAGTGAAGAGGCCCAGGCGGATCATGAGCTTCTCCAGTTTGTGCGTCTTGGTGGGGCCGCCCTGCTGTTTTATGACCGAGCGGATGCGGAAGAGAGACACGAAGCCGGCCAGCAGGAACATGGTGCCGATGAAAAGGTAGATGACGAGTGGCGCCAGCACGAAGCCGCGCAAGTTGTCAAGGCTCTGGTTGCCCACGTAGCAGATGCCCCGCCACCGGGTCGCCGTCCACCGAGCTGAGCGCCAGCACGGCGATAGACTTCACGCTGGGCACGAGCCACGCAGCCAGGTGGAAAGTACTGCGAGTAGCCCGCGATGGCCTCGTTGCCCCATTTCATGCCCGCCGCCCAGAAACCACGTGAGCGACAGAATCACCCACCAGATAGAGCTGGCCATGCCGAAGAAGTAGACGAGCAGGAAGACCACGGTGCACAGAGCCGGGCCCGTGGTCTCGTAGCGCACATGCTGCTCCACCGTGCCCAGCTCCTGGTACTCACCACGCCCGCCTGGGCCGCCCGCGCCAGCCCCTGCCGCGCCCGCGCCCGCAGCAGCCGCGCCGCCCGCACTGCCCGCGCCGCCCGTGCCTGGCGCGCCACCGCTGCACGCCACCTTTTCATGCCCCGCCACCAGGCGTACCAGGTAGCCGACGGACACGAAGAGGTAGCAGGCCGAGAGGAAGATGATGGGCCGCTCCGGGTACTTGAAGCGTTCCATGTCGATGAGGAAGGTGGACACGGTAGCGAAGGTGGACACAAAGCAGAGCACAGACCACAGGCCGATCCAGAAGACAGTGAAAGCTCGTTCGTCCTGGCTGAAGAAGGGGTTGTGGCAGGGCAGCGCGCAGTTGGCAATTTGGCCAGTCTTGACGCGGTTGTACAGCGGGTGCCGCTCGCTGGCCACACTCACCATTGGAGCACGGCATTGGCAGCCCGGCTCGCAGGGCGCCGCGCCGCCGCCAGGGGGCCGCGCCTTCCCGCCGACACGAGTTGGGGGAGATGCCGCGTCCCCGATGCCCCCGCCCTTTCCTCGGGACGCCGGCCTGGCCCCTGACGGGCGGCCGTGGCCGCTGCCCGAGGGCGGCCGTTCACCAGGAGGAGGCGGTGGCGGCAGGCGGCGCGGCGGGCTGGGCGCAGTTGTGGTGAGGTCGGTGTGGTTGTAGTCCATGCACAGCGTGTCCGGGTTTCCTTGTTCGGGCAGCCGGTCGCAGCGCATGCGGTCCGGCCAGGCGAAGCCATACTGGCGCATGAGGGGTGCGCATCCGGCCTTGGCGCGCTCGCACACGGAGCGGCAGGGAGGCAGGGGCTTCTTGTAGTCCTCCAGGCAGATGGGCGTGTACATGCTGCACAGGAAGAACTTGAGATCGGGCGAGCACTGGATTTCTACCAGCGGCCAGAACTGATGCACTTCCAGACCCGCCTCGTCCTGCGTGTCGTGGTTGAACTGGTTGGGCATGTAGGTGTAGTTATAGCCGATACCCTTGCACAGCGGCACGGTGATTTCTTGGCAAGCCAGCTCCTTGGCTGAGGCGGCCGCAGCGCCGCTGGAGCGCTGCAACAGCGTCAAGGCGGCCAGCACGGAGGTCACTTCCAACAGGTAACCCCACTCCATGCTTCGTTCCCTCGCCTTCCTGGCAGTGAACAGAGGGGCTCCGGAGGATCCAGAGAGAGAGAGAGAGAGAGAGAGAGAGAGAGAGAGAGAGAGAGAGAGAGAGCCGGAGAAGAGAGTGAGTGCCCTAACTCGTCTTTCTCCTGTTTCTCTCCAGAGGTTGTTTATCCGCCTAGTCCCTAATCCCTTCTCAGGACACGTCCACACAGCGCAGCCCGCCGCTCCGGGAAGATGAGGGTGGCTGCAGCAGTGCGCTACAGTTCCTAGGGGTTTACCCTGATCGAGCTCAGCCCTTTCGGAGCAGAGTGGCTGGCCGCCGGCTCATCGTCCCTCACTCGCGTTCTCTCCGCGTCGCGCCGGCGCCGGTGACTTGGCTGAGCGCAGAGGGCGGCGGCGCAGCAAGTTTCCTTTCCGGCCGCCGCGCGCAGTCAAGATGGCTGGGCCAGGCCGCTCCCGCGCGGGGTCAGCCCCTACGGACCCTTAGGCCCCCCGGGGGTTCATGTTCGTTCCCAAAGCTGCTCTGCTGCCTCCGGAGTAGGGACCCGCCTCCACCGAGGCCCAGTCCCTCTCTCCACGGCGTCGGTCCGGTAAAAGTCCGCGCTCCAGCCGGCAATCGGCGAAGTGCAGGCAGCCCCCTCCTCGCTAGACATGCAGAATCAAATCCAGACCGGAAGGCGGAGCAGACACCTGAGCGGCTCGACTGGCGCCCACAGCTACCTCCTCTTCGGCCAGAGCTGCGCCCTTCACCGAACTTCCCTGTTGCGGCCCCGCTAGTCTCCGCGCCGTCTCATGAATATTTATACCGCGCGGACTTGGTTTCCGCCCTCGGCCGGGCACGCCAATCTCAGGGAACCGGGCGGAGTCTTCTCGCTCCTTAGGCCCAGCCTTCCTTAAGGCGGTCCAAGTGTCCGCACAGTCATGCGCGGAATCTGCGGCTGGAGAGTTTCGGTAACCTTGGGATTGACCGCAGAGATGGAGTTTTTGCCACGACTGCCACCCCTTGCCAGCCCGTTCCGCCCCGGCGCTCAATGCGTCTGAGGACTCGGTTCCATTTCTTTTTTTCTCGGTTTCATTTATAAGTCTGCACTTGGGGGACTGGGGACGAGGTTTTAACTCAGTGCACGCTCTCCTAGGCCCGTTTTAAACAAATTAAATCCCCGCTTAAGAGTCTCCCGAATGTGGGTGGCCTATGGGCCATGGGGGGCCCGCGTCCCTACGTGAGCTGGGGCCGGGCGCTGTGGGAAATTCGAGAAAGGGTACCCTGCTTGGAGTTCTCAGAATGATGGTCTTTGAGGCTTGGAAATGTGGTAGAAACGGGAAAGATGGCAGTATATTTTGGATGGTGGGGTAGGACGGGGGACAGGCCGGACGGAGGTGTCCCGGCGCCCACCTGCGGACACGCGAGGGGCGCGAGGCACAGGGGCGGCCCCGGGGTTCTCCTGCCTCTGCCGAGTGACCTGGGCGGGCCTCCGTGTCCTTATTGGGAGAGCGAGGTAATATCTCAAAAGGGATTCTGATAATGAGATGAGATAAATATGTAAGGCACCCGGGACCCAGTTCTTCCTTAAGGAACATAATTCCCTTCACCTTAAAAAAGAATGAAAAACTTATAAATAGGACTGGAAACTGCAGCTGGGTTCACTCTCCACCTTGTACTTTTGGAACATGTACATCTATCCAAAGTTCACGTGATTTGCCAGAGCTGCCTTCTCTTCGATGGGAGGTGGTGCTGCGCCCTGGAGCTGACATGAGGGCAGGTCTCCATGGTCTGGAGAGTCGAGAGGGTCCTTGGCTGCTTTTAGCAACCACTGGGGACGCCGCCAACCAGTTGTGCCGGCGCTAGCTCCGCGACCACCTTAAGAAGTTGTTGTTGTTGTTGTTGTTTTGGCGGGGTGGGTGGGGGGGGGGGTGGGGTGGGGGAGGGACGTGGGGCTTGCGGCCTGGCAGGTTCATTTCACGCTAGTTAGGACTTCCCGGGGGGTTGTCTTTCTCCTAGAATGGAGGTTTATTTTTTTTTAATTGAGGTTCTGTTTCATTTAGCGCTTGTATGGAATTCATGCTGGGGCTGTAATTACTGTAATCTCTGAAACCAGCATTTCAGTTGGCCAGGGAGGTGG